TATATAAAGTTTAAAGTGATAATGTTCTTAATCCTGGAGGCGGTTCAGTAATAATTTATTTTATGACTTGTGACTTGTTGGTAGTAGTGGTGGTGTTGGTAGTAGTGGTGTTGGTGGTAGTAGTGGTGGTGGTGGTGGTGGTAATGGTGGTGGTAGTAGTGGTGGTGTTGGTGGTGGTGATGATGGGTGTGGTGTTGCTATTAATGGTGGTGATACTAGTGATGTTGGTAGTGGTTATGGTAACAGTGGTAATGGTGGTGGTGGTAGTGGTAGTGGTAGTGGTGGTGGTGGTGGTGGTAATAGTGGTGGTGGTGGTGATGGTAGTAGTGGGCGTGGTGGCGATGATGGTAGGTGTGGGTAATAGTGGTGGTGGTGGTGGTAGGTAGTGGTGGTAATGGTGAAATGTAGGTGGTAGTGGTGATAATGGTAGTGGTGGTGGGTGGTGGTGTTGGTGGTGGTAATAGGTGGTGGTGGTGGTGGGTGGTGTGGTGGTGGTGGTAGTGGTAGTGGTAGTGGTGGTGGTGGTGGTGGTAATAGTGGTGGTGGTGGTGATGGTGGTAGGGCAGTGGTGATGATGGTGGTAGTGGTAATGGTGGTGGTGGTGGTGGTGGTAGGTGGTACAGTGGTGGTGGTGGTAGTGGTGATAATGTAGTAGTGGTGGTGGTGGTAGTAGCAGGTAGGTGGTGGTGGTGGTGGGTGGTAGTGGTGGTGGTGGCAGGGTGGTGGTGGTGTTGGTAGTAGTGGTGGTGTTGGTGGTACTAGTGGTGGTGGTAGTGGTGGTGTTGGTGGTAGTGGTGGTGGTGGTGGTAGTGGTGGTGGTGGTAGTGGTGGTGGTAGAGTGGAAAAAGAGACCAACCATTAAGACAACTCTCTCAAAATCAGTCCAATTTGTCTAAGGTCATTTTATTTATTAACTCTTCTGGACTGTGCCACGAGTTTTAGCTTAAGGACTGTACCTGGAGTTTTAGCTTACGGACTGTGCCACGAGTTTTAGCTTAAGGACTGTACCTCGAGTTTTAGCTTAAGGACTGTACCTCGAGTTTTAGCTTACGGACTGTGCCACGAGTTTTAGCTTAAGGACTGTACCTCTAGTTTTAGCTTACGGACTGTGCCACGAGTTTTAGCTTATGGACTGTACCTCGAGTTTTAGCTTACGGACTGTGCCTCGAATTTTAGCTTACGGACTGTGCCTCGAGTTTTAGCTTATGAACTGTGCCTCGAGTTTTAGTTTACGGACTGTACCTCGAGTTTTAGCTTATGGACTGCGCCTCGAGTTTTAGCTTACAGACTGTGATTCAAGTTTTAACTTACGGACTGTGCCTCGAGTTTTAGCTTTCGGACTGTGATTCAAGTTTTAGCTTATCTCAATCCTAAAATCACCGCTTTAAAGCATTCAAGTAAAATATTGAAGTCGAATTTAAGTGGAGATGAGGAGTAACGTAGTAAGTCGTCCTCCACCTGATGTCGTCCTCCACCTGATGTCGTCCTCCACCAGATGTCGTCCTCCACCTGATGCTGCCCTTCACCTGATGTCGTCCTCCACCTGATGTCGTCCTCCACATGATGCTGTCCTCCACCTGATGCTGTCCTCCACCTGCTGCTGCCCTCCACCTGATGTCGTCCTCCACCTGATGTCGTCCTCCACCTGATGTCGTCCTCTACCTGATGCTGCCCTCCACCTGATGTCGTCCTCCACATCATGCTGTCCTCCACCTGATGTCGTCCTCCACCTGATGTCGTCCTCCACCTGATGCTGTCCTCCACCTGATGCCGTCCTCCACCTGATGTCGTCCTCCACCTGATGTCGTCCTCCACCTGATGTCGTCCTCCACCTGATGCTGTCCTCCACCTGATGCCGTCCTCCACCTGATGTCGTCCTCCACCTGATGTCGTCCTCCACCTGATGTCGTCCTCCACCTGATGTCGTCCTCTACCTGATGCTGCCCTCCACCTGATGTCGTCCTCCACCTGATGTCGTCCTCCACATCATGCTGTCCTCCACCTGATGGCAACAGAAGATCAATATAATCCATCACGATCCGTCTTCTTGAGTATCGATAGAAAAGTCTCCGAGGAAAGTGAACCACAACCAACTTTTCCTACGCCTAAGACTGCCAGCTTTCACACGCCTTTCCTCTTGGTGAAAAATCTCGTCTCATCCAACAAAATATTTTTCTCACAGGATTTGCAACAATCTCAGGTGTCAAGTCCCTTTGGCCATGGTGGGAAAAATAAAAGAAATGAACATCCACTGGAAAATTTTCACTCCTAGATTTTTTGTTGTTTCTGTTTTACAAGTCTTTTAGTTTACGTGAAATGATGTTAATGTATATAGGCACAACACCTTACCTCTCACAGGAAAGATATATATATATATATATATATATATATATATATATATATATATATATATATATATATATATATATATATATATATATATATATATATATATATATATATATATATATATATATATATATATATATATATATATATATATATATATATATATATATATATATAACTCCTACAGTACACCAGATGGATATCACTTCACACTTTGTCTTAATGGGGCCTTAAAAGAAGGTAGCTGGCGGGTTCAAGAGTGGGAGGGAGGGTGTTAGTGGGAGGTGTGGACACGTTGACTGTGGGAGGGAGGGAGGGAGAGTGGAGACGTTAACTGTGGGAGGGAGGGTGGTAGTGGGAGGAGTGGAGACGTTAACTGTGGGAGGGAGGGTGGTACTGGGAGGTGTGGAGACGTTAACTGTGGGAGGGAGGGTGGTAGTGGGAGGTGTGGAGGCGTTAACTGTGGGAGGGATAGTGGGAAGTGGAGACGTTAACTGTGGGAGGGAGGGTGGTAGTGGAGGTAGAACGTTAACTGTGGGAGGGAGCGTGGTAGTGGGAGGTGTGGAGACGTTAACTGTGGGAGGAGGTGGTAGTGGGAGTGAAGACGTTAACTGTGGGATGGAGGGTGGTAGTGGGAGGTGTGGAGAAGTTAACTGTGGGATGGAGGGTGGTAGTGGGAGGTGTGGAGGCGTTACCTGTGGGAGGGAGGTGGTAGTGGGAGGAGTGGAGACGTTAACTGTGGGAGGGAGGGTGTAGTGGGAGGAGTAGACGTTAACTGTGGGATGGAGGTGGTAGTGGGAGGAGTGAGACGTTAACTGTGGGAGGGAGGTTGTAGTGGGAGGTGTGGAGACGTTAACTGTGGGATGGAAAAATAAATGGTGATGGAGGAAGGAGGAGGAGGATTAGCGTCATAAACTATGATAGGAAGGATTAAGATGATAATGGACAGAGAAGATAGGATTAAGAGGAATGGGAAGGATGCCTAGGATTGACTGGGATACAGATTGTTGAGGATATTCACAGCACCCCCGTCCTACCCTCCAGCGTCCTAAAGGTTACAAGAGGCTCGGCGAATCATAACAAACACCTAACAACCCAGGACGTACACACACACACACACACACACACACACACACACACACACACCAACAAATATATTGACTTAGGGGATCGATGAATTTTAAAATGAACACTGCGCCTCCTGTTGTCTCGGTAGGGTTGTCAAAATCCTTCGTCCATTGTGTCATATTGTCTCACACCAAATCGTCGAGGCCAGCAGCCACTCAAGGTTCTCAACTCCCAAAGACATCCAAGTTAAATAGGATTACCTGGGGATTAGACACTTAAGCTTATTTTACCTGACGATTTAACACCGTATTGCTAATCTAACCAACGTCACTTAACCCTCCAGAGAAAGAGAGCAGCAAGTTGGAGGAAGTCGTCAGAAGTTGGTGTTGGGAAACAATCTGGCTGTTACGGTGACTTTCTTATCATCATCATCATCATCTTTTCTATTCTCCTCCTCCTCCTCCTCCTCCTCCTCCTCCTCCTCCTCCTCCTCCTCTTCCTCCCTTCGAACTTATCTCCCCTCTCTCCTACTTCTTTCTTCCTCTGCTATCTCACTTCCCTCTCTTCACTCTTCTCTTCCTCCCCATCTCCTCAATTACATCATTGACACAATCTTTCTCTCCCCATACTTCTTGATAACCACCACTACCACAACTACCACCACTATCAGTACCACCACCACCACAACTATCACCACTATCAATACCAACCACAACTAACATCTATCAATACCACCACCACAACTATCACCACCACTATCAATACCACCACCACAACTATCACCACCACTATCAATACCACCACCACAACTATCACCACCACTATCAATACCACCACCACAACTACCATCACCACTATCACTACCACCACCACAACTACCATCACCACTATCACTACCACCACCACAACTATCACCCATCACCACTACCAACCAATATCACCACTATCAGTACCACCATCACCACTACCAACCAATATCACCACTAACCACCACCATCACCACAACTACCATTATCTCGTACAAATTTCAATCAATATATTTTCCCACAAGAGTTCGAAAATACGAGAGGTATAATTTTTACCTCCAGTCACACAATCTTCTTAAGAGCTCGATGATGTACCTCTTCGCCAGACGTTCGATAAGACCAAAACTTCCGCCAGACGTTGATAAGGCCAAACTTATCGCTTGTGTCCATTAACTATGATCCAATTACAAACTTTGCTAAAAATAATGTCGAATCAAATGTCACAAAGTTAATGGAACAGGTTTTATTTGCAATAATTTCCAAGTTATCTTGAGTACGCTACATGGACGATTCACTGATATGGAAGAGCTGAATCAAATTTATTCATCGATAACTAAATTTAAGTAAGTACTGAAATGGAATAGGTGTGAATATTATAAAGTTTTGAAAGTGTGTGTGTGTGTGTGTGTGTGTGTGTGTGTGTGTGTGTGGTAAAGAGAAGTGTAACACTAACAGCCGGGATCGTTCACTGAGGATGGCTCATACGTACACCAGTCAGGAGGTCAGGTCAGGTCTGGTCACACTCAGGGAAATATACAGGTAGTGAGTCTGTCTTATTCAGGCAGTAAAACACTCTGTATTTCGACGGCTGAGTGATGATGACACCTGGGGTGATGATGACACCTGGGGCGATGGTGACACCGGTGATGATGACACCCTGGGGATGGTGACACCCGGGGTGATGATGACACCTGGGGCGATGGTGACACCTGGGGCGATGGTGACACCCGGGGTGATGATGACACCTGGGGCGATGGTGACACCCGGGGTGATGATGACACCTGGGGCGATGGTGACACCGGGGTGATGATGACACCTGGGGCGATATGGTGACACTGGGGCGATGGTGACACCCGGGGTGATGATGACACCTGGGGCGATGGTGACACCTGGGGTGATGATGACACCTGGGGCGATGGTGACACCTGGGGCGATGGTGACACCGGGGTGATGGTGACACCTGGGGCGATGGTGACACCTGGGGCGATGGTGACACCCGGGGTGATGGTGACACCTGGGGCGATGGTGACCCCGGGGTGATGATGACACCTGGGGCGATGGTGACACCTGGGGCGATGGTGACACCCGGGGTGATGATGACACCTGGGATGGTGACACCCGGGGTGATGATGACACCTGGGGCGATGGTGACACCGGGGTGATTGATGACACCTGGGGCGATGGTGACACCTGGGGCGATGGTGACACCCGGGGTGATGATGACACCTGGGGCGATGGTGACACCGGGGTGATGAGTGACACGGGGTGATGATGACACCTGGGGTGATGATGACACCTGGGGTGATGATGACACCTGGGGCGATGGTGACACCTGGGGCGATGGTGACACCTGGGGCGATGGTGACACCTGGGGCGATGGTGACACCTGGGGCGATGGTGACACCTGGGGCGTGGGCACCTGGGGCGATGGTGACACCTGGGGTGATGGTGACACCTGGGGCGATGGTGACACCTGGGGTGATGATGACACCTGGGGCGATGGTGACACCTGGGGCGATGGTGACACCTGGGGCGATGGTGACACCTGGGGCGATGGTGACACCTGGGGCGATGGGTGACACCTGGGGCGATGGTGACACCTGGGGCGATGGTGACACCTGGGGTGATGGTGACACCTGGGGCGATGGGACACCTGGGGTGATGATGACACCGGGCGATGGTGACACCTGGGGTGATGGTGACACCTGGGGCGTGGTGACACCTGGGGCGATGGTGACACCTGGGGCGATGGTGACACCTGGGGTGATGATGACACCTGGGGCGATGGTGACACTGGGGCGATGGTGACACCTGGGGCGATGGTGACACCTGGGGCGATGGTGACACCTGGGGCGATGGTGACACCTGGGGCGATGGTGACACCGGGGGTGATGATGACACCTGGGGCGATGGTGACACCTGGGGCGATGTGTTGACACCTGGGGCGATGGTGACACCTGGGGCGATGGTGACACCTGGGGCGATGGTGACACCTGGGGTGATGGTGACACCTGGGGCGATGGTGACACCTGGGGTGATGGTGACACCTGGGGCGATGGTGACACCGGTGATGATGACACCTGGGGTGATGATGACACCTGGGGTGATGATGACACCTGGGGTGATGATGATACCTGGGGCGATGGTGACACCTGGGGCGATGGTGACACCTGGGGCGATGGTGACACCTGGGGCGATGGTGACACCTGGGGCGATGGTGACACCTGGGGCGATGGTGACACCTGGGGTGATGGTGACACCTGGGGCGATGGTGACACCTGGGGTGATGATGACACCTGGGGCGATGGTGACACCTGGGGCGATGGTGACACCTGGGGCGATGGTGACACCTGGGGCGATGGTGACACTGGGGCGATGGTGACACCTGGGGCGATGGGCACCTGGGGCGATGGTGACACCTGGGGTGATGGTGATGACACCTGGGGTGATGATGACACCTGGGGTGATGATGACACCTGGGGTGATGATGACACCTGGGGTGATGATGACACCTGGGGCGATGGTGACACCTGGGGCGATGGTGACACCTGGGGCGATGGTGACACCTGGGGCGATGGTGACACCTGGGGTGATGATGACACCCGGGGTGATGATGACACCTGGGGTGATGATGACACCTGGGGTGATGATGACACCTGGGTGATGATGACACCTGGGGCGATGGTGACACCTGGGGTGATGGTGACACCTGGGGCGATGGTGACACCTGGGGCGATGGTGACACCTGGGGCGATGGTGACACCTGGGGCGATGGTGACACCTGGGGCGATGGTGACACCTGGGGCGATGGTGACACCTGGGGTGATGGTGACGCCGAGATGGTGACACCTGGGGGTGATGGTGACACCTGGGGATGGTGGCAGCACCTGGAGCGATGGTGACACCTGTGGTGACACCTGGGGTGATGGTGACCTGGGGTGATGGTGACACCTGGGGTGATGGTGACACCTGGGTGATGGTGACACATGGGGTGATGGTGACACCTGGGGTGATGGTGACACCTGGGTGATGGTGACACCTGGGGTGATGGTGACACCTGGAGCGATGGTGACACCTGGGGTGATGGGCGGGCGGCACCTGGGGTGATGGTGACGCATAGGTGAGTGGCGACACCTGGTGATGGGGACACCTGGGGAGGTGATGAGGACGCCCGGGGTGAGGCGCCTGGGGTGATGGGGACACCTGGGGGTGATGAGGGCGCCTGGGGTGATGAGGGCGCCTGGGGTGATGAGGGCGCCTGGGGTGATGAGGGCGCCTGGGGTGATGGACATGGGGTGGAGGACGCCTGGGGTGATGGGGACGCCTGGGGATGGGGAGCCTGGGGTGATGAGGGCGCCTGGGGTGATGAGGACGCCCTGGGGTGATGAGGGCGCCTGGGGTGATGAGGCGCCTGGGGGTGATGAGGACGCCCGGGGGGGTGATGAGGGCGCTTGGTGATGAGGACGCCTGGGGGTGATGAGGGACGCCTGGGGTGATGGGGACGCCTGGGTGATGGGGACGCCTGGGGTGATGAGGGCGCCTGGGGTGATGGGGCGCCCGGGGTGATGGGGGCGCCTGGGGTGATGAGGGCGCCTGGGGTGATGAGGACGCCTGGGGTGATGGGGACGCCCGGGGATGGGGGCGCCCGGGTGATGAGGGCGCCCGGGGTGATGAGGGCGCCTGGGGTGGTGGGACTGGGGTGATGAGGGCGCCTGGGGGTGATGGGGGCGCCTGGGGTGTGGGGGCGCCCTGGGGTGGGGAGGCGCCTGGGGTGATGAGGGGCCTTGCCTGGGTGATGAGGGCGCCTGGGGTGATGAGGACGCCTGGGGTGATGAGGCATGGGGTTGATGAGGACGCCTGGGGTGATGAGGACGCCTGGGGTGATGAGGACGCCTGGGGTGATGAGGGACGCCCGGGGTGATGAGGGCGCCTGGGGTGATGAGGGCGCCTGGGGTGATGAGGGCGCCTGGGATTCAGTGAGGACGCCTGGGGTGATGAGGGACGCCTGGGGTGATGGGGACGCCTGGGGTGATGAGGGCGCGGGGTGATGAGGGGCGCCCGGGGGTGATGAGGGCGCCTGGGGTGATGCGGACGCCTGGGGTGATGGGGGACGCCCGGGGTGATGAGGGGCGCCTGGGGTGATGAGGACGCCTGGTGATGGGACGCCTGTGAGGGGCGCCTAGGGTGATGAGGGCGCCTGGGGTGATGAGGACGCCTGGGGTGATGAGGACGCCCGGGGTGATGGGGGCGCCTGGGGTGATGAGGACGCCTTGGGTGATGAGGGCGCCTGGGGTGATGAGGGCGCCTGGGGTGATGAGGGCGCCTGGGGTGATGAGGACGCCTGGGGTGATGGGGACGCCCGGGGGTGATGAGGGCGCCTGGGGTGTGAAGGGCGCCTGGGGTGATGAGGGCGCCTGGGTGATGAGGACGCCTGGGGTGATGAGGGCGCCTGGGGTGATGGGGCGCCTGGGGTGATGAGGGGCGCCTGGGGATGTGGGCGCCTGGGGTGATGGGGGCGCCTGGGGTGATGAGGACCTGGGTTGATGGGGCCTGGGGTGATGAGGGCGCCTGGGGTGATGAGGACGCCTGGGTGATGAGGCGCCTGGGGGTGGGGCGCCTGGGGTGATGAGGACGCCTGGGTGATGGGGCGCCTGGGGTGATGAGGGCGCCTGGGGTGATGAGGGCGCCTGGGGGTGATGAGGGACGCCTGGGGTGATGAGGGCGCCTGGGGTGATGAGGGACGCCTGGGGTGATGAGGACGCCTGGGGTGATGAGGGGCGCCTGGGTGATGAGGGACGTGGGGTGATGAGGACGCCTGGGGTGATGAGGGCGCCCAGGGGTGATGGGGACGCCTGGGGTGATGAGGGCGCCTGGGGTGATGGGGCGCCTGGGGTGATGGGGACGCCTGGGGTGATGAGGGCGCCTGGGGTGATGAGGGACGCCTGGGGTGATGAGGGCGCCTGGGGTGATGAGGACGCCCGGGGTGTGGGGGCGCCTGGGTGATGGGGGCGCCTGGGGTGATGAGGACGCCTGGGGGTGATGAGGGGCGCCTGGGGTGATGAGGGCGCCTGGGGTGTGGGGACGCCTGGGGTGATGAGGGCGCCTGGGGTGATGAGGACGCCTGGGGTGATGAGGGCGCCCGGGGTGATGAGGACGCCTGGGGTGATGAGGGCGCCTGGGGTGATGAGGGCGCCTGGGGTGATGAGGCGCCTGGGGTGATGAGGGCGCCCGGGGTGATGAGGGGCGCCTGGGGTGATAGGGCGCCTGGGGTGATGAGGCGCCTGGGGTGATAGGCGCCTGGGGTGATGAGGGCGCCTGGGGTGTGAGGGCGCTGGGGTGATGGGGGCGCCTGGGGTGATGAGGCGCCTGGGGTGATGGGGCGCCTGGGGTGATGAGGGCGCCTGGGTGATGGGGCGCCTGGGTGATGAGGCGCCTGGGGTGGTGAGGACGGGGTGATGAGGGCGCCGGGGTGATGAGGGCGCCCGGGGTGATGAGGGCGCCTGGGGTGATGATGGAGCCCCCACCTCGGTCTTCCGTCTCCCCAGAAACATTTGCCTCTCATAAAAGGTAAAATCGGTTTGGAATTTTCCGTTGACTGAAAAACACGAGACAAAATACTCTCCTCAGAAATTGGCGGAAGAACGACGCTCGTTTTTAGCGTCGGTCTCATTGAGAATTTAAAACTATCATTCAACTAGGGCGAACTCTCTCTCTCTCTCTCTCTCTCTTCCTCTCTCTCTCTCTCTCTCCGTTTACATTTGAAAATCGCTTTGTAAACTTTGAAACGTCTTAAATATGAACCCGCCGTCTTTCCTGGTCGAAAAGGCTACACATATTTGGGTAAATTGTAACACACACACACACACTCCTGAAATTTAAATCCAAACGCTCCACGACACAATTGACCTCCCAATCAAAATATACAAGGTTGCAGTCAGACTCCCACCCCTCTCTGTTCTATTTATTAATGCATCCCCAGACAAAGCAAATGCCCTAATGAATGGAAAACCATTTGTCACCCCATCCCCAAGGTCACCACCCCGTCCCCTAACGACCTCATGCCAGTTGCCATACCCCCATACCAGTCTACTTTGTGAAGACTTTGTTTTTGAGTGGGCATTTGCCAGTATCTATCAGTCAATTGATCACAGCAATTTGGCAATATGGGGACCTCCTCTACATCACACTGCTTGGTGAGCTTTCTGGATTTTCTGCACAAAACTTGCAGAAACGTAAGACATCACTGGCCGTTGCCCTTGTGGACTTCAGGAAGGCCTTTGACCTTGTTGATCACTGCACTCTTATTAACAAGGCTATTGCACTAGGGTTGCCCACCAACCTGGTCTCATGGCTCACTGATTTCTTGAGTGGACGTCGCCAGGCAGTGAGGTATCAGGGCTTGGTCTCCACATTCCAACACCTCACCTGCGGTGTTCCCCAGGGACCAAGATGGGACCACTGTGCTTCCTCATCTGATCAACGACGCTCTATCGGACCTCCTCACAGGTGGAAGTACGTGGATGACTGCACTGTGGGGTTTCAGTGGACAACACCGCACCAGACTACTCATCGCTACAAGCACCTGGACAGGCTACAGGCATGGACCACGGAGAACAAGGTCACCATCAACCACACCAAAACCGTAGTCATGCATCAATACGCCACCACTCGGTGCAAGCCCCAGCAGTCACAGTGGTGCCCATCCTCTCCAGCTGGTGCAGTCTGCCAAACTCCTGGGTGTAACCATAGACAACAAACTTGACTGGAAGGCCATGTAAATAACACAGTCAAGCAGCCTAGTATCGTCTCTACATGCTACGACGACTTAGGTCACTTGGGACACCCACGCAGAGCTGAGGACCATCTACAACGCCTTTATTCTCCCAAACTAACATGCGTCACCAGCCTGGTCATCTTCTCTCAACTCCACCCAACAACGTCAGCTAGAAAGGTACAGAAAAGGGCCTGCAGAATCATGCTCGGCGCAGAATACTCCGGCTACATACCGCTCTCCACCACCAAATGCCATCCTCAGTGACCTCCACCACCAAGCACTGGAAAGGTTTGGCAGAGGACTACTGCCACCCTCATCATCGCACCTCCTGCCACCTGCAGCCCCCCCCACCAACTCCTGCAGTCCGCCACTACAACAAAATACAATATAAGCCTGCCGATAGATATAAGAACAGCACCATCATCTATTGTTAAAATAATAAACAACTCTGGTTATGTACTGTACAGCCCTGTAAATGTATTCAATGCATATCATTATGTCTAAATCAAATGTAAGTCTGTATATTTTCAGCCACCGGCTACTCTATTAATAAACCGTTTATTATCTCACACACACACACACCCTAGCCGAGTCAACACGGTGAGGTCGACGACGAAGAAAAATATTTAATCAATTTATATTCTGTTACTTGTGCTCGAGGGTGTCGTTTAAGCCACGTTCTCCATTTGTGTTGATGTTCGACTTTACTTTTAGTGATTGATGAAAGGTGAGGTGGGGAAGAGGAGGACGGGGTAAGAGCGAAGAAGAGGAGACGGAAGGGGAAGAAAGAGGAGACGGAGGAGGAGAAGAAGAAGGAGGAGGAAGAAGAAGAGGAGGAAGAGTGAGGGAAGAGAGAGATGAAAGGGATTCTCTCTCTCTCTCTCTCCACCCTCAAACAAACACAGCTCCAGTCTTCATCCCATCTTCAGGTCTACAGTTAACCACGAGTGGCCTTGTACAAAACAGACCACCGTGTGAGTCTGGTAACATTCGTCTTCGCTATCTTTTTCGCGTGACTCTTGAAGGCGGAAGATCAGCACACTAAGATGAAGACAAGCTCAGGTTGTTCCTCTAACGTGTTGGAGGAGGAGGAGGAGGGCGAGGGAGGAGGGAGGAGTAGGAGGAAGGGGCGAGAGGGAGGAAGTAAGGCGAGGAAGAGGAGGTTCTATATACGTTTTTAAAAGCAAGGTCAGTGACCTTATAAGTTCGACTATAGGTACTTAACATATAAGAGCTTGACTGACTTACCAACACGAGACACGACGACTCCCAGACACAGACTAGATGACGTATACGACTCCCAGACACAGACTTAGATGACGTATACGACTCCAGACACAGACTAGATGACGTATACGACTCCCAGACACAGACTAGATGACGTATACGACTCTCAGACACAGACTAGATGACGTATACGACTCCCAGACACAGACTAGATGACGTATGACTCCCAGACACAGACTAGATGACGTATACGACTCTCAGACACAGACTAGATGACGTATACGACTCCCTGGATACAGACTAGATGACGTACGACTCCCAGACACAGACTAGATGATATACGACTCCCAGACCACAGACTAGATGACGTATACGACTCTCAGACACAGACTAGATGACGTATACGACTCCCAGACACAGACTATATGACGTATACGACTCCCAGACACAGACAGACAATAAAAACAAAAGAATAACAAACCAGTACAATAAATCCCTCTCAACGTGTGTGTGTGTGTGTGTGTGTGTGTGTGTGCCACTTTTGTTGTCATCGTCGAAGTCTACTCATGGCAGTTAGGTGAAGACTCCACCCCAGTGCTTACAGTGTTGTTACTGGCTTACACACACACACCACCACACACACACAGACACACACTCCTTACTAACTTCCTGCCTCCGCATTACGTAAATAAATGAGGTAGAGAGTCAACAATACACTCCCTTTCCCGACTCTAAGTTTTGAAGATGAAACTGCGGCGGCGTTCTAAAGTTTACCTCTCAACCTATGTCGAGGAGCTATTATAACAAGCATTGTCTCCCTATCATTCAGTCAACCAGTCAGTTAATTTTCTGTGTATTTTGTCTGTCCGTCTGTTTGCCTGTCTGTATCACACACCTAAGTATATGACCAGATATCCTGTAGGACTCCTCTGTTGCAAGGTCTGTCAACAGGGCACACACGACGACATCCCAAAACAAACACATCACCACCAAGAGTCGAGTTATCGGTGGGGTGCGGGAGGGACCAATACGACAGACCCTAATGACTTCATGCAAAATTGATTGGCCGCCGCTCCAGATGCTGGCATCACCACTGACTTAAAGTGGATGATGGCCCATCCTCACAGCAGCGAGGTTAAGGGAGGTTGGTAGTTGAGGTTCTGTACAGGTTTACTACGGGGATGTGACCATTGTGTATGGGGTGTGACAGAGTGACCATTGTGATGTGTGTTACGGCTGTTTTCTCCCTTTCCACCACACCTGTTCCTTCTCCTCCCTTTCCACCACAACCTGTTCCTCTCCCTCCTCTCCCCACCACACCAGTTCCCTCCTCCTCTCTCCACCACAACCTGTTCCCTCTCCCTCCCTCTCCCACCACAACCTGTTCCCTCTCCCTCCTCTCCACCCAACCTGTTCCCTCTCCCTCCCTCTCCACCACAACCTGTTCCTCTCCCTCCCTCTCCACCACAACCTGTTCCCTCTCCCCCCCTCCCCCACACCTGTTCCCTCTCCCTCTCCTCTCCTCGTGTTAATTTCTTTTTACACATTCGACTTAAAATCGTGTTTTTCCGTACTGCTGCCAGATGGCCACACCCGTACCACGAACAATACTTCCTCCTCCGTCACCTCCTCCAATTCTCCTCCAATTCTTCTCCCTCCTCCTCCATTCGCCGAGCTTCCCACCATGGCGACTGCACCAACACATCCACGTATATTATTCACAACAAATTTATCATCATCATCGCTTTGGAATTACTGATAAATGTTTTTGTGAAAATTTTGCGTCATGAGTCGTGTTATTTTTTTCTACAATCAAATGTGTTTGTGATATACTACGTCACTTATAATTTATCTTCCTCCCCCTCCTCCTCCTTTCCGTTTCTCCTCCTTCTCATCCTCCTGGCACTATAGTCCAACCTCCTTAATATTCATGCACTTCCTTCCTCCTGCTCCTTCCGTCTCCTCTTCCTTCCCCTCCTCCTCCTCTCTCTTCTTCTTCTTCTTCTCCCCTCCTCCCATCTTTCTTTCCTGCACCTCTTGCATTTATCCTCCTCCTCTTTCTCCCTAAATTTCCTTCTCTTTCCCCCTCCTCCACACACCACCACTATCCCTCCTGAACTTCTACACCACCTCCTCTTCCTCCTCTCCTCCTACATCACTACCTCTTCCTCCCCTCCTCCTCCTCCTCCTCCTCCTCCTCCTCCTCCTCCCTACTACCACCTCTTCCCCCCATTACCAACACTCACCAATCCCATCAGTTCAGACAAATCGGTTCTAATATTCATAGTCAACAATACACTTCACAAGTGGTGTTCTGAGTCACTTGAGTACAACTATTTTTAAGCCACTCAAATAATGTGGGATATAAATTTAATTTCTGTTCAATTTCAGTGTTAAAATTTAAATTGCCGTTCAGAAATTTACCTGAATTTCAAGACGATTTAAACTTACTATTTCAAGTGCCACTCATATTAGATTTTAAATACCACTCGAAGCTTATAAAAAAAAATTTCAAGGACGCTTCAAAAAGTTTCAAGTACCAACGAAGAAGCCTAAAATTTCAAGGACCTAAAAAATAAAAACATTAACACATTTCAAGAGTCATTCAATAACTTCAAATATGAGAGAGAAAAATATTGGGAAGGGGTTATGGAGGACATAGTGAAGGAATCGGAGGTAACAGTATTATCAGTGCTAGTATCCTGTGGGCACCGGCTGACACTTATCTCCCCACCTCCTCCTCCCCCTCTCACACCTCTCTTCTCATCCTTTTCTCCTCTCTCTCTCTCTCTTATTCTCTCCTCTAACCCTTTTCTCTCTCCCTCTCAGCTTCATTCTTTCTTCTCGTTATCTTCCTTCTCTCCGTCATTCTTTCCTCTGCTTTACTCTTCTTCATACCTCTCATCTCCCCCCATCTTCTCATCTCCCCATCTTCTCGTCTCCCCCCGTCTCTCTTTTCGCTAGCCTCAACTTCCTTAACAGCAAATACGGGAGGGAAGCTAGTGCGTTTCCAGCAGCAGGGTCGAGCGTGGTCCACCTTTCCTTCTGGTCCTTCCCTCTATACGCTCCTCCTGCACCAGCCATTCCTTGGAGTCGCTGGGGCGTGGTAGAAGTGCAGGTAGGGAGTAGTGGGGTGCGTGTTTGCTGGGATTGGAGGAAGAGGCTGAAGAAGAAGGGAAGGAGGAGGGGGAGGAGGAGGGAAGAAAGGAAAAGGTGGAGGAAGTGAAAGAGGGACGGAGGAGGAAAGAGGAGGAGGAAGGGGAAGAGGAGGGTAGGAAGGAAGGGGGTAGGAGGAGGAGGCCTCCTTTAGCTAAACTCCTTGTTTTATCTGGACTGGTGCCACGCTCACTTATCCTCCCAGCAGTTTATTGCCACCTCTGCCTTTTCGCGGCCCAATTTGTTAGAGAGCAGTTTAGTGTTCACTAGCCCATCTGACGAGCATCGCGACGTTCCGCTGACTGCACGTCTGATCAGGGAGGCAAAGGCGGAAAAACTGTATCGGCTTCGCATCGAACTTCTTGTCATATACAGTAGTCTCTACAATACGGTAATTTGGTATAAACTCTATGGTCGTATATACACATTTTTCTTCTGGGACTCTATTCACCCACGCGGATTACTACTCTACCGCGCACAAGTTTGTAAAGTGGCTCTTTGAAATTTCCAGGGACCATGTCAGACTTGGCGTGTGGCCAGACAACCTGGAATTGTGCGATGCTTGAGATTACGGAAGAGGCTGGCGCGGTATACTGTGGTGGCCGCCTCGTGCTGCAGGGAATGCGGCCCCAGTGTTGTGCCACATGGATATTCTGGCAATATTTGTGGCGGAGAATCACTGTAGAAACTTTTCTACTTTAAATCCATACTTTAGACACTGGACTTTATTCTTGAACAAGTCTACACAACCAAAAGGCTTTAAAATAACTCCCCCAAATACTCTAACACAAAATTCCTCTCGCCTAAATAGCTCAAAAAGAAACGATAAATTCTCTAAACAACTCAAGACACGGAAACTCCGTTATGCAAGT